ACGGGGCTGGTGGCGTCCTCATGGACGTGCACAGCATGCACATGCATCTTAGCACCTCCGCAACACTCCGTGATGCTCCAGCTGCTCCATGGAGCGTCACGCTGTACGCACCATGCATGTGGGTGGCAGCGCAGAAGCTTTAAAACACAGTTAAGGAGCTCGGGCGGATGGGCCCTCTGGAGCACCGTACTGCAACAGTATCCGGTGCTCGGGCCTGGTTCCAGTACGTCTGTACCGGGGTGCACCGCCTGCAACCCACCACTGATGCAAAGTACCATCTCTATTCCACAAATTATTATTTAAATGTGAATGTAGGATGGTGCAAGCAAATACATGGAAAGAAGTAGAATAGGTATCACAGACTTTTCTAATGTATTACTTGAAGGTAAAAGAAAGGATCAACTTTGGCCTTAGATGTGAGATACAAGATGCACAATGGCTGAGATCACAAAGTATTGTAGGACAAAGGAATGTAAGTGAAGAATCAGGATAACATCACAGCTCATGTATGAAGTATTCAATTGCAGACGAAGGACATATTTTTGTAATAGGTTGGTTATTGTCTTCTACCAAAACCCCACATTGGTTGGGTCAATATAATATTTTAAACAAAATAAAATATTTTACATTATGACTGAGTGCTGAATGCTGCATTAAGTATAATTTAGAATCTATAATTTCTTCAGTATGCTGTGCTAATCTAGAAATTGTGGCTCCTTTAATAAATTATGGGCAACACAAATAATAAAATATCTACATATACCTAGCTATTTCATTTATCAAGAAAGCAGCTGTGGGAACTCAAAATCCTACTTGACATGTGTTTAGGTAGCAGCTGACTCCTCTCTTTTATGCAACACCATACTCTAGATTATTAAACATATAAATGTAGAAATGGATAAGTCATGGAAAATCAACCCTGCTAGCTTTGCAGGGCAGATTTCTATGCCAGCAAATATTTGCATGGTTTTTTAAAAAAATCTATACGGAAAACCCGTTTTTCAAACTTGGGGTGACAGAAGTTGTATTATCTTTCTAAAATATGTAAGATAACTAAGACTCTTTTCTATTTTTAAAACTTTCACTAAGGCATGTGTTCTTCCAAAAATGATGGTTCCTTGAAGAATGAAAACATCTTTACTGATGCTTGGTAAATGATTATGTTACAATCTTACTTGCTATATTTCTGAGGTAAAATTTCTAACTTTGAGTCATATCAATATGCAGATGATAAAATGACAAATTTTGATGACACAAGCTTTCATATTAAGCTTAGGTATTCATATTTTCATCCTTTAACATTCCATTTGTGTTGCATCATTTTAAACTATAGGCTGGAGGGTATTTACTGACTTCAATTAACACATAAGCTGTTTTAGCAAGCCTTCTAGGTTGAACAGCAACACATTAACATTTTTAAATAGATTAGTAAGGTTCTTCAGTAGAAGCTTAATAAGTGCTGAACCTGTAGGATTCATTTTTTTTAAATAACCATTATCATCCAGTAATATCAATACTAGCATAATAATTATGTATAAAGTATTATGGCCAAATCTATATACTCTAATTTTGATAAAAGCTGCTGGAAAAAAAACTTCCAAGGCTACCAATAAAGTCTACAATCAGATAATGGCTTGATCCAAAATAGGATAAGTAGAATGCAGCAGTTTTCTGTGTCATCCAGCCCACTTGCAGCTTCAGGTTTCTTTGTAAACTACCTAGAATCACTTAGCTCATGGATGTCAAACTCACATCACATGACATTTTTCCCATTCGCAGGATGGGTGTGACCTGCACATGATGCATCCGGCCCGCGGGCCACCAGGTTGACACTCCTGACTTAGGGTAATATAGAAATGTGATGAATGATCTGTTTCAGAATCAGATGGCCATTCTAGCTGCAGTATCCTTATATCCCTCAAATCAGGTGCTTACAGTTGAGGGACCATCAAGAATAGCATTGGAATAGATTGCAGCTGGATCAGAGGCCCAGGAACTGCACTGATGTGCTTTCATTTTGAATCACACAAACTTTAGCCAATGTCATATACAGAAAAAATAGTTTAGATGCACAAATGTTTTAGTCTAATGACATACCAAAAATGACTTGAGGAAAATATCACAAACATCTCATCATTCAGGAATCTAGAAACATTATATCAGTACCCATGAATTTGAAATATCCTACAGGGTTGGTACTTAAAAACATAATGATGGTTTTGTGCAAAGAATAATTAAACTACCTCTCAGAAGTACTACCTTCTCATTTGGTATTCTTAGATTTAATTTTTTTAATCAGATTTCTAAAAAATATGGTAATCAGGATTGCCAAGGGAAAAAAAACTTGTACGTGATAACTTTGTACATTAAAAGTAATAGTATTTCAGTCTTATTTCAAACTCTTATAAACTACTACCATGGTTGCAGTCATAGAATTTTAAATGTCTGATTTCATTGAGACTACTTTATCTATTTATTATCCATCTATGCCTTAATCTTGGAACTGAACAACTGCAACAGTAATATTAATTTTACAGTAATATTTTAGTTCTGGTTTTTCTTCACTCTTTTAAAAAAATAATCATAGCTGTTGATTCTTCTTTATTCCAGCCCTGCAAAATATATGATTAAGTGTTGCTTATCCTATATTTGTTCTCATGTGATGAAGAGATGAAAGATTACCAGTAATGAGTGACAAGAATCTAGATTTTTAAACAAACTATTCTCCAGATTTCATTATTTTTTCAGCTGTTAAACCTGATGTGTTTAACTTGCAGCATCATGAGAATAATTTAACTGTTCTCTGAAAATTAAACTAAAAAAATAGAGACTCAAAAACATAGATGGGAATAAGATACTCTTCCTACTTTCTCACATGTTCTCAATTTCTAGAATATTTAATTTTAAGTTGATGTTCAGCTTTGTACTAAATAAACAAATCAGATTCACAAACCATATTGGAAATTGATTTATTTCAAACTGACCACCTTGTTTTCTAAGACAAAAATTGGTTTCTAGATCACACTAACTTTAAATGTATTATATAAAACAATGTTACAAAATCACTCCTACCATAGGGTAAGGTTACAGTACATAAGTCCAAGGTTTCAAATCAAATTTGTTGCTCTCCACATAATGTTAAGCTATTGATAGTGTGTGTCTTTCAATCTGCTTTGCCACAAAATCCTTAAAAATATGTTCTTAAAGTAATCAAATAAATCAACTATACTAATTTTAGCATTATTTTTAATACCATGGTAGTATTCTGAAGTTTACATTAGTGCAAATTCTTGGAAGAAATATCTAGATATGCTCTATATAATATAGAAGAATAATACACTATGTTTTACAATAATAGCAAGGAGAAAATAGTTTAAATTGGCCCCATACAATCAATGTTTCACACAAAAACATGGAAGAAACCCAACTATACCGTATATATACACTGGTGGTATTTCAATAGCGCAAATTGCTTTAATTCACTCATAATGCATTTGTGATATAAATGATTATCACAAAGGCTTTGGTGTGCTTGTTTGTACACTCTAAAGCAGTGGTTCTCAACCTGTGGGTCGGGACCCTTTTGGGGGTCGAATGACCCTTTCACAGGGGTCGCCTAAGACAATTGGAAAACACATATTTTTGATGGTCTTAGGAACTGAGACACCAATTTTATGGTTGGGGGTCACCACAACGAGGAACTGTATTAAAGGGTCACGGCATTGGGAAGGTTGAGAACCACTGCTCTAAAGGAAGCCCATTGTATTTCTGAAATAAGCCAGTATTTTTGCAGACCTAAATAATTTCTGGGTATGAGCTAAGATATTAACAACCTAATGTTTATGTAATGTATATAAACTACAGATTTTGGCACTGACCCGAGAAACTACATGGTAATATATGCTAATAGAAACACAAAAGGCAGCTGATGCATTCATACCTAAGGAGCAACTTCTTGAAGAAAATGTCTCTTACATAAGCCATCTCTTTTCAACTTTAGGTCAGGAACTGTTTTATAACAAAGAATTCCCACAGGATTTAGAAATGGAGCTAGGACAGAAAATAAAGAAGTTCAAACAGTAACTATTTCAATTACTGTACTACCATATCTGTTAATTAATTAACAAATCCTACTAAAGGCGTTAAATATTTCAGTAAGCTTTATGTTACTGTTTAGTAAGCCATAAGAAAATGTGAAATGTGGAAAGAACTACAGTCATCCACTTTTAGAAATCGAACCAGTGCAGTGTTTCCTTCTGGCCAAACCTGACATATTACAAAAGACCGACAGTCCGATTTTCCAACGTATGTTTCGTTTAGCAATAGCGCTTAGATTTATATACCGCTTCATAGTGCTTTACAGCCCCCTCTGATTTTTAGAAACAATCGTGGGAGCAATTCGGATAGACAGAGGCTCGGGTAAAACAGGCTAATCCCAGCATTAGATTAGTTCACTAGGGCCAACCTTTCCCAATCCGGGGCAGTTCAGAAAGTCAAAACTATTTAAGTCCGAGCCATCAAGGGTCATTTAAGCCCAAAACTATTTAAATCCGAGCCCTGTCGGAACGCCGCGGTGAAATGTCCTTTCCGAAAGAGTTCAGAGATCTCCCGGCCTCGACATCAGAACTACCAGTACATAAGGGCAGCCCTTTCGCGCCCACCCCGGGGATTTTCGAGAGAAGCGCACAGCGGCACGAAAGGAGAGGCAGAAGGCGAAGCGCTCGATAGACCTGGCGGCGCCCAAGGCCGTGGACGCTTTGAGACGACTATTCTCCCACCCCATCTCGAAGGGACGGCGGCACCCCTCCGCTTCCTTAGCTAAGAGCGCAGGCCTCTGCTCGAATCAGCGGAATCCCAACACACCAACCTCATCGCTGCCCGGGACGGGATACTCTGCATCCCATCCTGCTTCTTCTTGGACCAGGCTTGACTCGCTCAGACGTCACTTCCGGGACACCGAATCGACAACGTCACAAGTGCTTCCGGCCAACGAGTGACGAGGACGGATCGTCTTGAACCGACTGAAAGAGCGCTGCGCACCAAGTTGGTGAACGCAGCAGAAATTGGCCAGAGAGGGGCTGGGGGAGTCTTTCTGGGGTTCGAGGGCAGGCCAGCGTTCCTGTTTCTATGGCGACTTCCGAACCGTTCCTGTGAGGTTCCGGAAGTAGCGCTTTAATAGGCCGCGGTTCGCCGTGGAATGAGGAGGTGCCGTTCTATCTGATGACCGTAGCTTGTAATCTGCCGGTGAGAATACATTTGGGTACATACATCACATATACTCGTGAATAAGCCAACACTATAATTTTGAACCAAAGTAGCAATAAAAAACGTTGGTAGGTGGTAGGCCATCTACCAATAAAGCAATTCTTGAAGTTTCGCTTAATTTTCACATTTGGCTTCTCTGCGGGTGGTTTTTTTTGGGGGGGGGGTAAAAGTTCAAGGTTTGGTTTACAGTATCTGCAGATGGACTTACTCGTAAACATATACACCGATACTTTAAAATGTAACCTCATATACTTGTGGATACATTCATCTACGAATAAGCTGAACCTATTTTTTCTGGATGTACTTTGGCATTTAAAATTCTAGGCTTATGCGTGAGGAATAGGTGTATACAGGAATTTACAACTGGGTTGCTTAGTGATTATTGCAAGAGAACCTTTCAGATTCAAAGTTTTGAAGGCTACCCCCATTGACCACATGACAACCAGCTTGCATTTATGTTTGTTTGCAGTGGCCTGCAATCACATGATCATGGCTGAGGGTGTTTTTTTTGCAAAACTGGTTTTATTTCTGGTTTCTGACAAAGAATACTCAACAAACAATGGATTTGCTTAATGGCTGAAGCATTCAATAAACGACCATGTTTGCCTAATACCTGCTGCACAAGCCATCATAAAATTGGGGGCAGTCACATGATGATACATTTAATGCTCATCGTGACTTATGGCCATAATTTCAAGTTCAATTATGGGCATAATTTGAGGGCTATCTGTATAATACCTGTATGTTGTAGAGGACTGCTGGAAATGGGTCAAAAGCTGTACCCAACCCTGATAATTAGGTAGTACTGTGCTTGATCTTGCTTGCCCCAACCCTGTTGGCTTTTTGCAAAGCTTAAAAAAAAAACCACCCAGCTATATACCCAGACCTGGGACTTGGAATGTGTTAAGGGCCCTATTACTTGGGTTTACTATTAGTTGACTAATCATCATAGCTGCTGTTTATACTTATTTATTTTCTGGGTGATTTTATTGTTTTAATACATTTAAATTGTTTTATAATTTTCAGAGTTATAAAACAATTTAAGAATCACTTGGTTGAGTTGGGCAGGTATAGAAATTGAACAAATAAATAAATCTACCATAGTTAAGTGGGCAATATTATCCTGAAAGTGCTGGAAGTTAATAGTGTCCCCTCTTCGCCTAACAGTTCTTGATCCCACAGAATTGGGATAGGAGAATTGGCAGCTACCCAAACATACTTTTCTTGCCTTTCCTCCTAGCTGCCTGAAATCTGTTGCCAGATCTGGCAGAGTTCACACAAACTGTTGGAGACATGGATGATTAACTCATTCAGTGAGTCCATATTTTCCTACTGCTATAAGGCAAATGGCCGTGAAGATCAATAGGCAAGATTGGGGCAGGGACATAATGCACAGCAGCCTCTGGCTGTCACACCAACGTTATCTTGATACAAGATAAAACAGGTAGATGATAGGGCACTGCGTCTGACAAAAGAAGCTGAAAAACTAACTATATTGTATATACCATAGATTTAAAATATAATGTAAAACTGGAAAATATGTGTTCAGGGTGCCTTCTCTGTGGGTCAGAATGTGTTGATGATTACTTAATCACTTCTCATCCTCCAAGTACGGTTGCTGAAGTTTCTCTGATGTGCAGTTAACAGGCTGTGGGAATGACAGGTTTGATGTAGTTTGATGGCTCTGGTTTATAAACCAGGAGACACTGAGTTCTAGGTCTCCCTTGGGCATAAAAGATGATTAGGTGACTTTGAAGCAGTCACTATCAGTTAAGTCCACCTCACAAAGTTGTTGTAGGGAAACAGATGTATTAGATACGCTTGCTGTCTTAAGTTATAGATAAAAAGAAAAGACAAAAGTATAAGAAGTCCTTAGAAGACAAATCTGGTGTCGCAGATTGTGTTGGTTTATTCTTCCAGTCTGGGCAGTGCTGAATCTGGGCAGCATTCTATGTTTCCACCAGATGTGGCAATCATGGTAGGAGAATGGGAAAGACTGATCAAGTATTGTATTCTCCTTTGCAGGTGGCCTAGCACAGAGTGGACTCAGTTGCTCTAGGTTAAACTTCTCGCTATCTCCATCTGTACTCTTTCTGAGCAGCAGAATTCTGTTGGGTCAGCACCTTAAAGGCAGCAGGAGAATTGGCTATATTTTTTGTTTCTTTATTAGATGTTTATCCTGCCGTTATTACTTTTTAGGTAACTCAATAGCAATAACACTTGGACTTACATACCACTTTACGGAGTCAGCATATTACCCCCAACAATCTGGGTCCTCATTTTACTGACCTCGGAAAGATGGAAGGCTGAGTCAATCTTGAGCTGGTGAAAATTGAACTGCTGAACGGCAGCTGACAGTCAGCAGAAATAGCCTGCAGTACTGCATTTAACCACTGTGCCATCACCACTCAAGATGGTGAACAATATGCTACTCCCTCCTCTGATTTTCCCTACAACAACAAACCTGTGAATTGGGTTGTGTAGAGAGAGAGTGGTCCAAAGTCACCTAGTGGGACTAGAATTCAATTTCCTGGTTTCTAAGCCATCACCTTAACCACTACACCAAACTCTCTCTCTAATCCTCTGGGACTAAGGATGCTGGATGCAGAAAGCAAACAAAAGAATACAAGCATAGCATGCTGCTCATAGAGGTACCTTCATTATCTGCTGCCATTGTACCACATTAAATATTAAAATTTGATGACTTACAAAGGTCTATGGGAGCATCACTGAAAAGTCTGGTGAGGTCAAATGTAGCTTTATGTCTCAATTAGTACACTTTTCCTTTATAAATCAGTGTTTGCTCAGTTTTCCTCACTGTTGCCATACAGTACTACCATATCATCATATAGCAAAAACACATTCAAAGGTAAATTAAGACTATAAAATTAGAATAACTGGATATGAAAAGAAACAATATAATAAAAATAAAATGGGAAGCTTCTTTGCTTACAGAGTATATAACATTGCAGCCTAAAACTCTTATTTAGTGTTTCAGGTGGCATTTGGCTTTGCGCGTGTATTTCATCTGATGATATTCTGACAACCAGTAGAATGTGTTTCTAACCACATATAGATTACTATGGCATAGCTGGAACCAGACAGTAAAACTAAGTTTATTACTTTGAGTTTAATGTTCATTGTGCAATGTCGAGGTATACAATTAAATCATGGTAAAACGATAACTAAAAAGATCTATACATTTGTAATTCCTTTGGTTGTTTCTTTTTGTAGAGAAAAAAACATCTAAGATGGCTTCAGTCCCTACTTCACATTCATCTTCCAAGCTAACTGTAGCATCACAAGTCCCATTTTCAGATCTCTGTTCAACATTAGAACAAATTCAGAAGTGCAAATCTCGACAAAACAAAACAAAGTATTTCAAGGATTTTCTAGATTCCTGGAGGAAATTTCATGATGCTCTTCATAAAAATGAGAAGGATGTGATAGATTCTTTTTATCCTGCAATGAGGCTTATTCTTCCACAGTTGGAAAGAGAGAGGATGGCCTATGGAATTAAAGAAACAGTGCTTGCTAAGCTCTATATTGAATTGCTAGATTTACCCAAAGATGGAAATGATGCTTACAAACTTGTAAATTTTCGAACACCCACTGTCTCACAAGGAAATGTTGGAGACTTTGCTATGATTGCCTACTTTGTTTTAAAAGAAAGATGCTTCAACAAAGGTCAACTGACCATACAACAAGTAAATGATCTTCTAGATTCTGTTTCTAATAATAATGCTGCCAAAAGGAAGGATCTAGTTAAGAAGAGCCTTCTTCAGTTAATAACTCAGAGCTCAGCACTAGAACAGAAGTGGTTGATCAGGATGATCATAAAGGATTTGAAACTTGGTGTCAGCCAGCAAACCTTACTTTCTATTTTCCATCCTGATGCTGTAGAATTGCACAGTGTCACAGATTTGGAAAAGGTTTGTAGGCAGCTGCATAATCCTTCGGTGTCACTTAGTGATGCTTCTATTACATTATTTTCTGCCTTTAAACCAATGCTTGCTTCTATTGCCAGTGTGCGCCAAATTGAGAAACAAATGAATAATCAGACTTTTTACATAGAAACCAAATTAGATGGTGAACGAATGCAGATGCACAAAGATGGAGATGTTTACAAATACTTTTCCAGAAATGGATATGATTATACTCAGCAGTTTGGTGCTTCTCCTCTCGAAGGTTCATTGACTCCTTTCATTCATCAGGCCTTTAAAAATATTCAAAACTGCATTCTGGATGGTGAAATGATGGCCTATAATCCTACCACCCAGACATTTATGCAGAAAGGAAACAAGTTTGACATCAAAAAGATGGTGGAGGATTCTGAATTACAAACATGTTTCTGTGTATTTGATGTTCTTATGGTCGATGACCAAAAGTTGGGTCATGAGATGCTGAGCAAAAGATACAATATATTAAATACAATTTTTACACCAATAGCTGGTCGAGTGCAGATTGTTTCTAGAATTCAAGCCAACACACAGAAAGAAGTAGTAGATGCCCTAAACGAAGCCATTGATAACAGAGAAGAAGGAATTGTAATAAAAGACCCCATATCAATTTACAAGCCAGATAAGCGTGGGGAAGGATGGCTGAAGATCAAGCCAGAATATGTCAGTGGGTTGATGGATGAACTGGACCTTTTAATTATTGGAGGCTACTGGGGTAAAGGTCTTCGTGGTGGCATGATATCTCATTTTTTATGTGCGGTTGCTGAGACTCCTTTGCCTGGTGAAAAACCATCTAAATTCCATTCCATTTGTCGTGTTGGTTCCGGTTGCACTATGAAAGAACTGTATGATCTTGGCTTAAAATTAGCCACATATTGGAAAAAATACGATAGGAAGGTTCCACCTTGTAATATCTTATGTGGTGTTGAGAAGCCTCAAGTCTATATTGATCCTTGTAATTCAGTGATTGTTCAGATTAAAGCTGCTGAAATTGTGAGTAGTGATATGTATAAAACAGAATGTACATTACGTTTTCCACGCATTGAAAGAATAAGGGAAGATAAAGAATGGTATGAATGTATGACTCTTGACCTTCTAGAACAACTCAGAAGTAAAGCTGCTGGGAAGCTTGCTACAAAACACCTTGATGTAGTTGAGGATGAACCACAAGAAAAGAAGCGTAAAACTCTGGCAAAAAATAAAAAAGCAATTGGTTTAATGGAACATTTTAAAGCACCAGATCTTTCTAAAATAAACAAAGTTTCTAATATTTTTGAAGATGTTGAGTTTTGTATTATGACTGGGACACCAAATTATTCAAAGTATACCTTGGAAAGCAAAATAGCAGAATACGGTGGCAGCATAGTTCAAAATCCTGGGCCGGATACCTACTGTGTTGTGGCAGGAACTAAGAATGTTAGAGTGAAAAATATTATTTATTCCAACAAATATGATGTTGTGAGAGCAGAATGGCTTTTACAGTGTTTCCAAGCTGGAAAGTTTGTGCCGTGGCAACCTGCTTTTATGATTCACATGTCTCCTGAAACAAAGCAACATTTTGCTTATGAATATGATACTTATGGTGATAGTTTCACAGCTGATACTGATCCACAAGAGTTGAAGGCAGTGTTCTCAAGAATTAATACCTCTGAAGAGATTTCTCAAGATGTGATTGCTGGCATAGAAGCCCGTTATTCTTGGGAAAGTTCCCTAAGTATGTTCAGGCAACAAACCATTTACCTGAGTCTTTTTGATGAAATGGGCAATTCAAGGGACAGAATAAATCAAACCAGATGTTTAACTGTAGAGTTGCTACTTCGTTTTCATGGAGCAAAAGTAGTGTCACAGCTTGAGGAAGATGTATCCCATGTAATTGGTGGAGAACATTCTGATTTGAAGAAAATAAAAGCCATCAGAAGGACTTTTAAGAAAAAGTTTAAAATTGTTTCTGAGCAATGGATAAAGGATTCTGTAAAAGCTGGAGAATTACAAAATGAAAACTTGTACATAATGTAAGATTTTAATTTGTAAGAAAAGTCTTGTTAGGATTGTGCAAAACGTTTGAAAGTGATTTGCAGTAACAGGAGCAGGAGTGAAGTACATCTCTTTCAAAATAACCATGCTTTCTGCAAGATGAGGTGGCTGCTTCCAAAGTTGTTTTCAGAGCACACTCTTAACCTGGCAGAATGTAGTTTTTGAATGTGTTGCACAATGCAATTCTTTTAATATTCCAACTCTCTTGAAGGTATGTGAATAAAAGAAAAAAATGCTCAGGAAAATGGGGATGATTATTTCTCAGTCTTAGGTTTTTATCTGTTTTACCTAGCTTTTAATGTATTTCTAGGGAAACTTGTATTACTCAATTATATTTATTAAAATGTACAGATCCTAAATAAATTTTATTATTTGCAGCCAATAGGGCTATATGTTGAAATTTCCAATACTGAATGTGGTTTGAGATGTGGTTTAATTGTTTTAAAAAGTATCATCTATCTAAATCCGTGTTTCATTCATGTTTAATGTATTATTGTAATGATGAATTTTTAAATAAATGGATATGTATCCTCAGAATTTAAACATCTACAATCTTAAATGCATCATAGGAGTGCTTTCTCCAGCAAAGAGGCTTTTAGTTTTATAAACTTAATTAAAGTTTTATCAAAAGAGAATCCAGGGATCTATTTTCTGAAACTTGAAAGGGCTGCTTTTCAATAGTTTAGCGAGAATAGTTTGTTTTGCACATATTTTCTTTTTCCATCATTCTGTAATAAATATTTAATATAATTAAATAATATATGTATTTTAAAACTTGATTCTGTTTTGGAATAAGTAATTAGTTAAGAATATTTAATTTTATGTATATATTCAAGGTTATGTTGATGACTGCAGTACAATTTCTAGTACTGATAATGTGTTTTATTAAAAGATATTACTAGGATTAAAACATGCTTGGGATAAACAGATGTCCATCATCTGACAAAAAAAATGAAAAAATAATTAAAGTTTTAATTAACTAATTTATTTTAATTAATTAAAAAGAAAAGGCTTTTCCAAAGAAGACAGAAGCCTTCAAGGGTGGGGTTGATCTGGCATCCCTGGAGACCTCCATTCTCTGCAAAAAGGCTTTTCCAAAGAGCATGGAAGCATGCATAAGAACACAAGATCTAAAGAAAACAGTTTCACCAGCATCTGAGAAGAAGGCTACTTTTTTGCCACCTGGCCTTGAGCTCTGTTGATCTTCAAAAGGTAAGGCAACCTGAATAGTGGGGGAGTATGAGATACCTCAGAGGGTGCAGGGAGGCCTTGGATGGCTGGAAGCACGTCGTTTGTTTCTGCACTAAGCCCCCATGGTCTTGCCCATCCCTGAGGTACCTCATTCACACTTAACAACCTCTGCATTCAATTAAAGAATGCATTGGAGGAGGAGCGATGGGGCTCCATTCAACATGATTTAGTTAATGTTATGACCATAACGGGCAGATGCTATTACAGTCATAACTTGGGGACTACCGGTAGTTGTGTTCCTCAAGAGGTAGTGAATTTGGGTAATGTATGTGTAAGTGCAAGAGCCAGTAGAATATGGTAGTTTTGATGATTGTGGAAAATGAGTTAATAGGAATTATTGAAGGGAGTAAAGGAACAAACTTCAATGCTAAGTATAAAAAAACCTGACACTTAAAAAAAAGACAGTGAAAAGCCTGTATTATACTATCTAGAAAGGGGGGGGGACAACAAAAAACCCCAAATGCCAAAAAATGGGAACAAAAATAAAAACATTACTCACAAATTATATCTAGTTCTATATAATTTAAATAGTGTGATGCATGTGTCCATTGGACATTATTACAGGTGATTGTACTAAAGCTGCCAAGAGTTTCCGGATGGTGGTTAATAAATAGTTAATCTACCCTACCTGCTAAGGAGAAAAAAAACCAGAACCACCTCTGCCATCTTCAGCTTAGAGCTTTGCTGGCATCCTGCCATAAATTGTTAGGTGGCTGGGGGGGAAGAGGAAATAGGCAATTTGCATGTAAGGGGTAGAGATGAGCTAAAGAGGGAGTGGCAGGTTGACAGAAGCCAGAGGTGTGAGAACCAGCCTGTTCTCCCCAGTTGGTGGATACAGCCAGCCAGAAAGGGTTGTCTCTGTCCAGTGGCCAATTGGACTGAGTCTACAGCTGTGACATCACTGATACCACTGGTGACTCCTCCCAGCTTTAGACTTGGCCCGATCAGGACTGGATGCATAAATTAATTCTCCAAATTAGCTACTTAATTAGATTATTTTTTTTCAAATTTATCCCTCAAAATGGCTTTAATTGGCTTGTCTAAGGTTTTGCTGCTGCTCTTCTTTAACTGTGATCTACGAATGCCTTTCCTCAGCTCCTACTGCATCGCGGGTGCCACAAGGTAACTCCGGAGCACCCCATGACTTCTAATCATAGGACAAACCAACGGTCTCTGTCCATCACGAGGCCTCCTGCTGGATTGATTTCGCCGCTGCTGCCCTCTGCGTTCTCTTCAGCTGCAAGCTCCAGAGGACATTTTGAAGCCTCGGGACCGTTTATTTTGGCGCCAAACCTCCGTTCGGTCTCTAGCCTCAGATCGATCTACAGGCTTTGCAGCACAGAGTGACAGATTCCTGTGGGGTGAGTCCCTGAACCACCAGTTACTATGGCATCCCCCAGGAGTGATCAAAGCCAGGCGAGCTCAGACATTTCTTCCCCTGATAGTCTGGTTGCAGGCCCTTCTGGAGTACATCCACCAGGAAAAGGCCAGCACAGAGCCTCGCCTAAAGGGCAAACCACCTGAAGTCTCCAAGGTGGCCCAAAAGGCAGAGGATCTTCGCCAGCGCCAGCTGGACAAGGAGTTTGCCAAAGCACAATGTTTGGTTGCCAAGCTCTAGGCTCAAGCCTCCACAGAGTGCTTTCCCAGCCCTCATCCTTTTCTGCCAGGCCCATTGCCGATGGACACCCCATGATCCACTGTTCTGTCCTCAGATAGTGAGGAAGAATCACAGGAGTCGCCATACCAGCCCAGTTTTGGGCCTGTTGAACCATCTCCTGCTCCTTTGGCTCCACAGCCTTCTCCTGAGGTACAGCTTTCGTTTCTCTTGCCCCAGGGTCCCTTGACATCAGTTGGGCTGGACATGGCCTCCATTATATCTGAGGCCATCAAGCAGGGGATTGCAACTGGCTTTCAACAACAAGGTTCTACTCCACAGGCTCCTATATCTGCTTCCAGTGTGCCATCACCTAGACCATCTCATACCAATAAAAGTCCACCTACTCAATCAATCCCATCTCATTCTGATCAGGTCTCAGTGGGAGGGGAGGAGGAAAAGGCAGTTAGGGATTCTGACTTGTCTGAAGATGAGGATTTAACCCCTGACCAGCCTACCTTCATAGGTTTATTCAAACCAGCTGTCCCTTCTCCTTAGGGCCAAGAAAATTGCCAAGGTAGGGTTAACTCCCCCTCAGGTGTCAGACTCAAGAATGGGGGAACCAATGGATCCCTTCTTTCTGGAACGCACAGTGGAGAAGGAAGTCATTCCTTCTACCAAATTATTTTTGGATTTAGTCCAAAGACAATGGGGCTCCCCGGGATCGGGTCCCCTTCCTGATTCTAGGACCCATAGGGACCTCAACAAAATTAAAGCTGCCATGGAATTTGCGGCAGACGTCTCCCTCAATTCGGTCAAATTTTCATCTAAAGCCATGGCTTCTTCTATTTCTACCAGACACTTGCTCTGGTTGAAACAGTGGCAAGCTGACGGAAGGGCCAAATGGAAGCTGGCTTCAGCTCCATTTGGGGGAGAAAAGCTTTTTGAGGCTTCGTTGGAACCGCTGCTGGTAGAATCTTGCGACAAGCGCAAGATTCTGCCTTCTCTTTTTAAAAAGCCAGAAAATAAGCTTGCCCCCTTCTACTGCAAGTCTTCCATTCAGGGAGGGGATGGGGGGTTCTATGCCTCTCATCCCCAGCGCCAATCTAATTTCAGGCAGTCCTACCAACCTCAGAACAGGTTTGGGAAGGGAAACCAACATTTCCTCCCCAGGAAACCATTCAAGGGTCCATCCAACCAACCCTTCAGACGTCAGAAGTGCCTGTCTGGATGGTCTGCAGATCGGGGGTAATCTCTTGGCCTTTGCCAATCGATGGGCAGTTACAACCATGGATTAGTAGGTCCTGAACACCATAAAATTCGGCCTGTCATTGGAATTTCTCTGCCCCCCCCCCCCAATGCTTTTTCTTCCTTGTCCTGCTTCTTGGGAACCATCTCGCAGGCTCCTGATGGAACAAGCCATCTAACACCTAATGGAGATCCAGGCAATTCAACCAGTCCCTCTGGATCAGGTAGGTCAAGGTTTTTACTCACGACTGTTTGTCGTGTCAAAAGCTTCAGACGGATGGAGAGCAATCTTCGACCTAAAGACTCTGAACCTGTATATCAATACCACAGGCTCAAAATGCATTACCTGCAAACCAGTCTGGAGGGGATCAGGGAGGGCGACCACCTAACATCGGTGGACTTAACGGAGGCATACATCCACATCCTACCTACCCACAGGCAGTTCCTAAGGTTTTGCTATGCATCAAAACGCTACCAGTACAAGGCACTCCCTTTCAGCCTGTCATCAGCACCGAGGGTGTTCACAGACTACAGTGCAACCTCGACAATGTCTTAATACAGTCCAGGTCAGCAAACCAGATGCACAGAGATCCCCAGACTGCTCTTTCGACACTTAGGGAACATGGATTCTCCATAAACATGAAGAAAAGCCACCTTGTCCCCACAACAAGACTACTACACCTAGGTGCAGTAATCGACACGGTGCAGGGCACAATCTTTCCTGAGACCATCTCTCTAGTCTGCAGCAGATGGCCCAACAGCTGAAAAGGAACCGCAGAACATCTCTCCTCCATCTCTCCCAACTGCTGGGCAGGATGGTCTTCTGCTTCGGCATTGTCCCCTGGTCCAGACTACACAGCAGGAAGCTGCAGTGGTTCCTGCTGCCGCATCAAAGAGCCAACAGGAGCTGCTCGCCAAGACAGGTCACATTGCCATTAGAGGTAACCAGGCCCCTGGGGTGGTGGTTCTCTCCAAAGGTGGCTCAGGGGTCTTTCTTCCGGTACCTGGCCCATATCACGATCATCATGGATGCCAGCCTCATGGGTTGGGGGGGGGCACCTCCACTCTCAGATAGCACAGGGCACCTGGTCTCGAGAGACAAAACACAACATCAACTGGCTCAAGCTGTGAGTTGTTCACCTAGCGCTCAAGCAGTTCCAAGACTTTGTGGCAAACTCACATGTGCTGGTACTCATGGACAATATAACAGTGAAAGCACACAAACTGGCAAGGCGGCGCATGATCCCACACACTGATGGATGAGGCAAGGCGCCTGGGCAGAACATCATCTGTTGTCCCTCCACGCAGAACACATCAGCGGAGTGGACAACGTGCAGGCGGACTGGCTGAGTCGATCCCAGGTCGATCATGTGGAATGGAGCATAACACCATAGCTGTTCCGCCAACTGAGCAACAGATTTGGAGCTCCAGTGGTGGACCTGTTTTTGACTCATCTCAACAGCAAGCTGCCCACCTTCACCAGGTGTGCTAGTCTGGGGTTGGCAGGGGTGGATGCCCTTGGTTGCAGGTGGCATTCCCTTCGCTCCCTCTGTTCCAGAGGGTGATCTGGAAAACAATCAAAGAGCAGGCTGAGCTCATCCTTCTGGCCCCACACTGGCCGCGCAGGCCGTGGTTCGCGGACTTGGTCAACCTCTCAGTGGCCCCTCTATGATGGATTCCCTTGCACAAAGCCACCCTGACAAAAAGCTCCTTCATCCATCCCGACCCACTCTGGTTACAATTGACCACTTCGAGATTGAGCAGACAGCCCTAGCTGCAGCGAACTTCAGTTCAATTGGTCACTGGACAAAGACAACCCATTCTGGCTGCTGTCTCCACTGTCCGGAGAACGGGCATATCAGGTAAGGACCAACCCTGATTCCAGTTCAAGGCTGCAAAGCCTGAGAAAGAAATGTGAACAGCAGCTCCAAACATCTGAGCGGTTCCCAAAACATGTATGCGGCACATCATTGGACGAAGACAAACCCGACAAATGGTGGAGGGCTGGGGACAAAGTGGAATACTGTAACACTTTGAGTGGGAACTTTAGTTCTAGGCTGCAACCAATATTGCAACCACTAATCCTTAGTAAAAGAACCTATCATTTCAACCAAATGGAGTTGAGGGTCTGTCTTTCCTAGAGACTTAGCTGTGGAAGGTCTGACACAGTTGGACACCCAGGGTATTTTTATTTGGCACCTGGCTGAGAAAAGAGCTAAAGGTGCCAAATTTCCAAGAGGAGGCCTGAAGTTTCATATCACTTGACACTGTACACAGGCAATTGTTGGGTTAACATGTCCCCTATTTTGCCACAGTCTGCTGCAGTTGCTAATAAATGTGAGTTTGATGTCTTAGAATAAATTATGCATACTAAAACATAAGTTTGGTATCTTTGGAAGTATTTGTAATAGAGAATTATGGTGTTATGCAAGATGAAGTTCATGTTACTGCAAAAGCCAGTCTCTTTCATCTTTAATCAAACCATAATAAGATTATTGTAGCACATTGTATTTAAAAGGCAGTTTTTTTCTCATAGCTATTGAAACGTCTCCTCTTGAAGTTAGAACTAATTCAGCAACGTGTACAAGGAAAAAGAGAGGAACTCTTATATTCATATGCATTCTAGATAATGTCTTTCTCTTCTGGGATTCTCAGATCTATATAAATTAAACCAAATTGAAATATCATTATGCTATGTACAGTTATATTTAGAAGATCTGCCAGTAGATAGCCCTGAAGAAAAGTGTTAAATTCTTATGGAGATATCTGTGGAATGTAGAATCATAGAGACCTAGATGTATATGGGATGTCCTCTGACAATATGGCTGTAATCACATTACATACAGTAATCAATCAAATTCAGTTTCATTATTGGTATAATTGGAGAATAAAGACTCAATTTTCTAAAGTGCAAGTTTTATCTGATAAAATTTAATGTAATTAAAGAAACCATTAGCCCTATTTTCTGTGGGTACACAACAAAATGAATTAAAAATTACTGTAACTGCCTGGCTGGATTGGTACATGTCATTAAATCAGGCACAATTCACTTAACAACTGCCTTGCTCAGCAATGGAAATTCTGGTTCCAATTGTGGTTGTAACTTGAGGAGGACCTGTGTAATGAGTCATAGTAATTCAACGTCTGTAGAAGAAGAAATTGCTATTTAATTTGCTGTAGTGGATCTGAATGTGTCATTTTTATCAGCTTTTGAATTGATTTTTCTTTTCAGCAAAAGCAAGAAAAACATATTTTAGCAATTAATTTATTTGACTTCTGTTTATAACATATTTCATATTATGCCCACCATTATATTTCCTATGTTTTCTTTTAATTAGTTTGATATAAAATGTATTTGGTATAGTTAAATCAAAAAATTACATTGTACTGCTCTCATTTTCCAAATCTAATGTTACATGACATTATACTTTACAACCATGTTGCGTAGCAACAGAAATTCCATCTCAGTTACTGTCATTAAGTGAGTGCTACATAGTCCTGGAAATTGCAATGAGTGACTTTAATGAGTCATACATAGGAGTAGCTGCATTCACACTCCTATTTCCAGCATTGAAAAAAGTGAGAGACAAATCTTTGATAGTGAAGCATTGTCTTGCAAATTCCCAGCAAAGTTGCATACTATTTTTCCAGGTCAGCTTTCTCCAGCTTGCAGAATATACACGGTTAAGGAAAATGGTCTTGTGCCAGAATCACAAGCAGCTAACTTTTTCATTCATGTTGCTGACTTTGCTCTTTAAGGTTTCATCCAGATCATGTATTTCAGATGTCCCTGTAGCCATCAACTTAGATTCCTTTCTTAAACATTTCATTTGTGTTAACTGATGTGAGTTGTACACAACAGTAGGAATAGTGTTCACTAAGAACGACTGCAGAGGTTTCTTTTTCTCTTTGTAATGACATTGGAGGTAACGTACAAAAGCGGATCGGTAGGTTTTACTGAATAATGTATATATAAGTGGGTTGACTGCTGAAGAAAGGTAGCCAATCCAAACAAAAATGTTAAGCAGATCCTCAATTACATCTTTGTAACACGCCTCCTTGCAAAAAGCTATCATCACATTTGTGATGAAAAAAGGACACCACATTACCACAAACAGGAAAAAGACAATGCCAAGTACCTTGGATGCTTTCTGTTCATTACTTATTGATTGCATCTTTCTCCTTTTAAAAGTTCCCGATTCTTTGTTCAGAGAGTGCGTGAAATGCTTATCCAAAGAAAGAGAACTTTGAGGAAAAAACTTGAATGAGCCAGGTTTTGAATCAAGATCATTCATGCATGATGTGGCTTCTTTCTGAAGAGATTTTATAGTTAAAAAATAGGTGATCACCATGATAACAAGTGGAATAAAAAATGCTACAAAAGAACCAATTAAAACAAACTTCTCTTCCACAAGAAAACAGCTTCCATTCTTGAAAACTTTAGAATTATCATGGAATCCAAATATAAGAACTGGCATTGAAATACCTATATGTTTAGTTAAAAAAAAGATAAGTATAATTATTTTCACTTTTAAAAATATGTCATTCTGTGATGTACCACAATGGGTGCCCACTCATTCCCAATAACATTCTTGCACATAAAGATCAGACCATCACTGCAGAGCGTGAATTTGCTACTTTGAAGTTTGCACAGCTATTCAGTAGAAACTAAAAACAAAGTACCGTCTTACAAATACAAGTTAAAGGTTTTGGCTTTGATATAGCTACAAGCACTGTGTAAACTCTACAAGGACAGATTGGAAAACCACTTGAACAAATTGCTGAATTCAAACATCGCCAGCAACACCAATTTTATATGTTAGAATTTCAATTCAAAAATGTGAATGTTTATTACAGTAGTTCGTTAACTTTTATTGGGGGGGAAAAACCACAATCAAGATTTTCCTGTTTGGCAGGTTTAGTAATAATACAGGCAGCACTCAATCAATGACCTTTCATTCAGCAACCATTTAAAGTTATATGCTGCTGAATGGGGTGAAACTATAACCGTTCCTTGTACAAATCTCCAAATTTGTATGATCATGAGTTGGCTGCTTGGTAACCAGTTCACAATTACGATGGCCATGACATCCCATGGTCACCGTTTGTAAACTTCTCAGTTGCTTTCCTACAAGTAAAATAAATGGGGAAGCTGGTGGGGAGAAACAGTGATCCCATAATTCTGGGACACTGACTGTAGGATTTGCCTTAACAGCAAATGAAAATGCATAGCTTTAGAGAGAGATTGAGAAAGGATGCACATATAATTTTACTGAAAGTAAAAATCTCTGATAATAATATAACCCAAAGATTGAATAACTCACCTATTGATACTGTCCAAACAAGAGCAATTTTTGCCAAGGCCTTTGTTCTGGAGTTAAACCGGCTGTGATGAATGGGATCTTGAATGGCAATATAGCGATCCAGAGATATGGCACAGAGATGCATGATGGAGGCAGTGGAGAAAAGCACATCAAAATAAATCCACACAGTACAGAGGTTCCTAGGCAGTGGCCATCTATATTCTGTAACCAAGGAGAGTGCTTATTAATTGTACAGCAGTTGGAAATCTATATCTATATTTCACTGATATGAAATGTATTTTCTATTGTTATATTTTACCTCATCCATCTACAGATTTTTAAAAGTGGTCAGTCCATATCTTCCAGGCTCTTGGAGGCTCCCATATCCAATTCTGAAGCCAGCAGAGTTTTCTAGATTTTACTGTGGCTGATATGGTAGCAGAACTGTTAAGGTTTAATGATACAATTGCCTTTGTACTCCCCCCTCCCATCTTTGGACTTTTTTGAAATTATACAGTTTGCACCAAAACCTCCTTAAATCTGGGGGGGGGGGGACATCAAACCCTATCCAGTGTTAATGTCACATTTAAACTAATTGTAATTGTATTTATATAATTTCTAATTTCTCTGTTTTCAGCTTTCAAGGTAGTCTAGTGAAACTGTCATTAAAGAAAGATAAAATTGGAAGCGACAAGAGCAGTACCAGTCCAATGAATATTTCTGATGATAAATACCTAGGGCTTCTTTTTCTATTGTGTCATTATTGCAGCCATTCCCCTACCATGATATATTCCATTCAAATTAAATTTTAATTTATTAAAATATACAGTACTGTTGTAAACCAGAAAAAGAGACCAGAAAAAGTAGACAAATTACAAACATCCCATTTTAAAAACTGTTCAAACTTGAGATTAAAAATATCTAGAATATCTTCACATCCAGTAGGTTGCAGCTTTTATTGCAATGTGTTGAAAATGTGTTCCCTTGACTGTTTAATGTATTTACAGATAAATGTATGAGGAAAACTTGTCCTGATGTTAGCAATCTATTTAGTAGATGTGAATCTACATTTCCTTTTGTATGTAGTTGTAACCACCTTGTTGGCTGAGAACTCACATGAAAGACATTAATGCACACTTAAATCTTTATACATTCCCTATACTGTATATGATTTGTAAATGCAGTGTTTAGTAAATGCAAGCACCAAAACTTACTTTAAATTTTAAAGTGATGTACAAAGGTATCCAGATAAGTGTTTTGGCTATCTATTATTAGAGATATTGTCATGTAACACAGGTGTGGTTTGCTGTGCAAACAGCTGACTAGAGGGTCCAAAGCATTGATTCCTTATTCCGGATATCCAGTTTCAAAAACTCCTTCTCAGTACTATTGTCTATGTAATGGTGTTATTCAGCACCACTTTACAGGTAATCCCCAAATTATGACAGCTCACTTAGCAACCATTTGAAATTACGACCTAACCTCCCCCCCAAGTACTTATGACCCAGTCCCAAAATTATGAATGTTGCAGCACTATGGCCATCTTTCACACAAATGAATGTCCATAGCACTCTTAAAAACTTCTCTCTCACTTATCCCTGAAGCATATTATAGAAACCTGTAATTTTGTCTAGAGAACTTTAACTTCAAGAGCATAATGATCTCTATGCATAATGATAGCATAATGATCTATGTGCATAGATAGCATAATGATCTCAAACACTGTGTTGTTTCAGAAAATAAAAATTCATTTGGACAGTGTGAAATATTACAAATTAATCTACAAATGCAAGATCGGTTTTCTGTTATTCCTTTAACTATTATTAATAATTTTTACTTTAGTTTCTACTTTATTTATATGCCATTCTTCCTATTCAAAAACCCTGAACGACCTCACATAGGATATCTCTCCCAGCCATAGGCATTGAGGGTTGCTCTTCTTTGGAATTTAAGCCTCAGACATCCGATCCTGCACAATGCATTCCCTCAAATATTAAATATGTAAGCCACCCAGAGTCATTCACTGAGATGGGCAGTTAATAAACATTCAATCAAACAAACTAATATTAGTTCCTAAGCCATATGCAGCCTTACAGATATCACCCTCGCCACTACATTCTGCCTCAAGCATCTGGATTTGTAATGCTTGTGTATCAAGGTTATTTTCTTATCCTTTAATTACTGAGGAACTCTGGCAAATGAATCATAGTTAGGCAATGATCTTTTAAAACTTGCATGACTTTTTATCAGGCTATCCAAAGTAGTGATAACATTGAAAATGGTGTCACACGCACCTGTATACAAACAGTTTCATAATGATACACCTAATTCCATTAGTTTGTTAGAGTTAGCTGTATAAATATAAAACAGTCATTTATTTTAATTCCCAACTATGTGGATATTCTTACCTTCAAATTTTTTCTCCTAAAGTATGATTCCCCATATAATGATGAGATGTGGTTCTTAGCCCCATTACTAGTCTAATCTAAAATTTAATGATTTTGCAGTCTGATTTTTTGAACTACGAAATCTGAATAGTAAATGCAACAGATGTTGCACATGTTTAAAATATACAGTGATGTACTTAGTGATCTTTAAGTTCAATACAAATATTTCATTTTTTTTAAGTACCAGCCATCAAATTGTGCAAATATTTGGCAATCTAATACTTTTTGGATACATTGGTGCTACAACTCCTAGAATTCTCAGACAACTGTGAGGACAGAATGAGGACTGAAGGAGGAGTTTTGTAGTTAACAATGCTCTATTATTTGAGAAACAATGAAAGCATCATGTAGCATTAAGATTTCAGACATCCACATCATCTAGTTCAAAATTCTAATTTTTTAGAAAGCCTCTTTTCATTGATTCTATAGTTAGATTAAAGTAACTTGTAATATGCATATTCATCAATTAAGGTATATTGAGTTTTAAAGGCTGTTAATGATACTCACCATATAATATAGTTAGCATTGATATCGGCATGACAAGAAAACCCAAGAGCATATCAGTTATTGCAAGTGACATCAGGAAATAATTTGTGGCATTGTGCAACTTCTTTTCTAGTGAGACAGCCAAGATGACTAGAATATTTCCAAAAATGGTTATAATAATCACAATAATAGTTAAAAGAGCAGGCCAGTTTTTCTCATGAAGAATAGGAAATAATGATGTAGTCAGGTTCCCTTCACAAGGACAGTTTGTTGTATGATCAAAGTCTGCAGTCACATTGCATAAACAAGACTTGTTAATTTCTTCAGATGTAAGTACACTTCTGTTGAATTTTCTAGCTTGGCTTAATTCTAGTAAGGAATGTGCTATTAGGTTCACAGACCATTCTTCAGAAAAAATATCCATTTCTAAAAATTCTGAAACTGGTGAGTACATACCATTAAAAATGAAAATTGCACCTGTATTATTACCATCAAGCTCTATATTGGTTATTAGTGCCAAAAATGAAATAAATTTTTAGAAAGAAAACTGACAGTTATTCAGATGATAATTCATATATAATTTGATATTATTATATACAATGAGTCTTGCTGAACAATTACAGTCAATTTCAAAAGATTAAGGAAAAGAAAAAGCAATTCATCCTTCTCCAATGTTTTTAGTCCTAGTGATCTTCCCCCAAAACATTTTAATCATGTAACTGACAATTTAAAAATATTGAAATAATTAGTTATAATTATTATTTTGTCCTATCATGGAAGTTATTAAATACCATATTTATTTAATGCTATCATTCTAAAAATGCTATAAGAAAAACACTTACAATGTATTTGAAAAATCCCCTCTATTAAATTAATGCTGTGCCTTGATATATTTTATCCTTCATTGTTTGTGCTGGCATAATATTCTTTAGTTCCAGTTTGCATGAATCAAATGCATTTTGCAGACTCCTCAGCTGCCCTCTTACAATAACACTGTTTCCTTCTTTGTCCTTTACAGCTGCTCCACTTATACTGTACTTCCCTCTGTTCTTTTTGTTCTTAAGGAGAATTATGTTGGAAGAATGATCTCTGGATAATCATTCCAAAAAATTATAATGCCCGGAGAAAGAAATTTCTGAAGGAGGTTCAAAATATTTTCTAGCAAAAATGGAAGTGAATTCCTTTTTGTCCTGTTTCTTTATAAGACGTCTCATTACTTTTGACGTTACACAAATGGCAAAGGCAGGAGGAGAATAAACAGAACAGAGCTGGATTTTTTTTTACATGTTGCAGTTTTATATGTATCAATGTGAGGCATTCATACTTAAAAAAAAAAAAATTCCCCACAGGATATCCTGCAGAACAGCTGTTGATAACAGCAGCCTGTAATAAAGTAGGTTCTTGTATGAAAAAGAAGAAGCTAGGAATTGCATATAATGGGCAAACATCAGATTATTCCTTTCAATAAATTGATCACATCCTAGCTCTAAATTTAAAGTTGAATATTACACTGTTAATAGTGTTAATTGGGAGCGGCAGTGTAATTTTGATGGTATAGAAAGCAATCTGTTCAAGAAAAGAAATTGGCTTTGAATGCTTTTTGGATTACTAGGTTATTAGGGGTGGTTATTAGGGAAAGTCTCGGACCTCAGGAGGTCACTGTTCCTCAGATAGGCGGGTGTGAGTCCCTTTTTGTGAAATGGGGCCTTGGAGTTCAGGTGGGCCTTTTTGTTACGTACCTGTCTTCCTGCTACGTTTCATCGGCCCTGCTGGAGCTGCTAAATGTGTTAGCTGGATTGGCGGTTGATTTCCCCAGGTTTATGATCCTGGGGGATTTCAATCTGCCTTCCATTGGCGAGACATCCGAGTCAGTTTGGGAGTTCATGGCTTCCATGACGGCTATGGACCTAACTCAGTTAATTCAAGACCCCACCCGATTTTTGTCTCTGGGCAGTGGATGAATGATCTAGATTTAGGAGATATTTCTATCCAATCCTTGTCATGGTCGGATCATTTCCTCATCAGGCTTACTCATCATACTACTACCCCTCACCGCAGGGAGGCAGAACTGACTAGATGGTTCTGCCCCAGGTGCCTGATGGACCCTGAAAGGTTCCTGATGGAGCTTGGGACTTTTCCTGAATCCCTTGCTCACAACTCGACCGAAGCCCTAGTGGAAGCCTGGGATAGGGCGGCCACTGGGACATTGGATCATGTTGTGCCTTTGCGGCCTCTGACCCAGCGTCGATCCCGGGTAGCTCCCTGGTTTACCGAGGAGCTCCGGGAGATTAAACGCCGGAAAAGAGTGGTTGGAGGGCCAGCCAGTCCGAATCTGATCGAAACTAGTAAGAATTCATATTAAATCCTACTTAGTGGCGATAAAAGCGGCAAAACGGCAACATTTTTCCGGTCTTATTGCATCCACAGATAATGCCCAGCCCCCCTGTTTAGGGTGACACACTCCTTACTTAACCAAGTAACTGGGAAAGACCTCTTGCAGGGTAGGGCTGAAGAATTTGTTCAGTATCTGCAGGATAAAATCACTCAGATCCGAGTCAACAGGGATGAATCTTGTGGAGACCATCTGGGATGAGTTTGACCCTGTGACCCCTGAGGGCATGGGCAGGATTATGGGGAGACTCAGTGCTGCCACTTGTGTGCTGGACCCATGTCCTTCTTGGTTAATCTCAGCTTCCCGGGAGGTGACATAAGGTTGGCTCCAGGCGATTACCAACACTTCATTGAGAGAGGGATTCTTTCCCACTGCCTTGAAGGAGGGGGTGGTGAGGCCCCTCCTTAAGAAGCCTTCCCTGGACCCAGCTTCTTTAGCCAACTATCGTCCGGTCTCCAACCTTCGCTTTGTAGCAAAGGTTGTTGAGAGTGTGGTAGCACGTCAGCTTCCCCGGTTCCTGGATGAAGCTGTCTACCTGGATCCGTTTCAGTCGGGTTTCAGGCCCGGATACAGCACAGAGACGGCATTGGTCACGTTGGTCGATGATCTCTGGCGGCCTGGGACAGGGGTTGGTCCTCTGTCCTGGTCCTATTAGACTTCTCAGCGGCTTTTGATACCATTGACCATGGTATCCTACTGCGACGACTCAGGGGTTGGGAGTGGGGGGCACCGTTTTACGGTGGTTCTCCTCCTACCTATTGGATCAGTCACAGTTTGTGTTGACTGGAGGGCAGGGATCGACTCCGAGGCCCATCACTTGTGGGGTGCCCCAGGGATAGGTTCTCTCACCCCTCCTGTTCAACATATATATGAAACCACTGGGTGAGATCATCCGTGGTTTTGGGGTACGGTATCATTAATATGCTGATGATACCCAACTTTTCATCTCTACCCCAAACCACCCAAACAATGCCCTCGACGTGATGTCCCGATGCCTGGAGGCTGTGCGGATCTAGATGGGGAGGAACAGGCTCAAGCTCAATCCCTCCAAGACTGAGTGGCTGTGGTTTCCATCATCCCGATTTGTGCATCTTGTTCCATCTTTGATCATAGGGGGAGAAATTTTAGGCCCCTCAAAGAGGGCCCACAATCTGTCCTCCTGGATACACGGCTTAGTTTAGAAGAACACCTGATGGCGGTGACCGGGGGTGGGGGGGCTTTTACCAGGTTCGCCTGGTATGTCAGTTCCGCCCCTTCCTGGATCGGGGTACTCTGTACACAGTCACTCATGCCCTTGTCCTTTCTCGCCTGGACTACTGTAACGCGCTCTACATGGGGCTGCCCTTGAAGAGCAACCGGAGGCTTCAGCTGGTCCAGAATGCGGCTGCGCGGGTTATTGTGGGGGCACTTAGGTGATTCCATGTTACACCCCTTTTAGGCGTCCTGCACTGGTTGCTGGTTGTCTTCCGGGTGCGATTCAAGATACTAATTAAGACCTTTAAAGCGCTCCATGGCTTAGGCCCAGGATACCTGTGAAACCACCTACTGCCACCGGTAGCCTCCCACCGTCCAGTACAATCCCAGAGAGTTGGCCTCCTCAGGGTGCTGTCGGCCAGACAGTGTCAGCTAGTGATCCCCAGAGGGATAGCCTTCTCTGTGGGAGCGTCTTCCCTCTGGAATGAGCTGCCCTCGGAGCTTCGTATAATCCCCGACCTCTGGTCCTTCCGACACGCCCTATAAAGTTGGCTTTTCCAGCAAGCCAGCCTGGCCTGAACAAAACAAAATAAATTATTGATCATTGTTAATTTTAATTTGCATTTTTTAAAATGTTATTGTTAATTCTAATCAGGTTTGTTTGGGATATTCTGTTTAATTTTTTAAAACTTTTGTATTATTTGTTTCTTTTAATGTTGTACGCCGCCCTGAGTCCTTGGGAGAAGGGCGGCATATAAATCTAATAAACCTACTAAAAATAAACATATTTTATATTCAATGAACATAAAGGAGAGAAAACAGGGCTCCCAATTTGAGAGGCTGATGGGTACAGTATATTTAAGAAGTATACTGTATACTATCAAAGAAAGTAGGGGAGAAGAAAAATGAAGAGTGTTGATGCTCAATTGACTAATGGAGTCACTATACAAATGCCAAAGGGCATTGAGTAGTATTTTAGTTGGTGTCTAACTTAGTATACAAAATAATTTAGATATCACTTGGGCAAACAAAACATGTTTCCTATATCTCCAATAATTCTAAAGGGCTTATTTTAAGGCACACATGCTCATATAAACATGTTTATACCCTGTGCACTTTTTAAACATGTTTATCATGGTATATGTCTGGACTCTTTGTGGGGTTTGGGAATAGGAGGCACTGTTTTGTGGTAGCTCTTCTTTTCCTCCATGGCCAGTTTCAGCTAGTGTTGTGTGGAGAGGTCAAACACTAGATCCCCACAGTGTGGGGTGCCTTGAGGTTAATGTCTGCTTCCTCTCCTCTTTTAACATCTACATGAAACCATTGGGTGCGGTCCATAGCATAGGATATACTATCATCAGAATGTTGATGATACCCAGCTATAGATCCCTGCCCCTGTCCAGGCAACTGATACTATTGCTATGCTGGCCAAGTGCTTAGAGGACTGAGGGCCTCGATGGTGTGAAACTGGCTTTGTTCAATCCTAGCAAGACAAAGTGCCTTGGAGTTTTTGACCCCTAGAGTGTGGTGATTTGCCATCCTTGACGCCTTGGATAATTCCTTGGACTGAGCTGGTGCACAATTTGGACATCCATCTGGAGTCTGGACTCATGTTAGATGTTCAAGGAACAGGTGGCAGACAATTCAGAAGCTTCAACAGATCCAGAATGAAGCACTGCACACAGTATTGGGTGATCCTAGGTTCACCTATGTTCTACCTCTGCTATGTGCACTGCATTGGCTCCCAGTTTCCATTCAGATGCAATTCAAGGTTCCGGTTATCAGCTTTAAAATCTTACATGGCACGGGACCAAGTTATTTAGGGAATCACCTCTTTC